ATGGTACGAGCCGGAAGCATACAGTTTAGCCTTATGTCTTTGCGCGCATGTGTTGTGCCGCAATCAGCTCGCTCCGAAGTTCTTTTTCTTTTCTGGATTTGCTCTTTGGTCGTTCTTTAAGTGCATGTATTTATTGTTTTCTTCATCGTAAAAATTGTGCTGAATGCTTCTATTGACTGTGCTCAAATTAGACAAAGTTCGGTATTTGGATGAACGATTTTTAGCTCATACTTCCAGCTTAGTCATTCGCTATACATTCGCTTCACAGAGACCTATGAACTCTCTCCTATGTTTGTCTTGATTCGTCAACATTCACGCGGGACTTCTGATGCTTTCCGTTTTTTTAAAATCATATCCCCGTTCTTCCAGGATGATCCGTCACGCTCAGCCACTTCTCAACAACGCCTACAAAGTACGCTAGAGGAGTTGGAATTCTCTCGGTTTTCTTTTTTATTATGATGCTAACTTGCAGGCTGTTTCTGCATCTGCTCGAACGCTGATGCTTCAAGAACATCACGGAATGGCTGTATTGAAATCTGCAAGTATTAATGTAAGTAATTGTTCTTGGAGTTAGGCGCGTACTTTGGAGGGAGTTGTCGCACCTCACCTAATTTTACCTTAGTTTTTATCAGCTAGTGTTGGAAACCAACAGTCACGGAGTCGGATCCTCTAAATAAATAAATCACATCCAAATTAGGATCGTGTATGACATTGATCTGTTTTCGTTCCTAAAGTCAGTGCTGATTGACATAGTATATGGCACAACTAGCTGTTTGATTATATCTATGACGCTGGATTCTTTAAAAGTACGAGTCCTTCCTTTTTCACTGATTTCTGATTATCTATGTATAATTATATGCATTACGATCATCTTTTCTTTATATTCATTTATGCAATTATTATACTAGTCACTTTATTTTGAAATGAAGTGCATATTTCGCTAGCTACTAGGCATGAGCTTTTTTCTCTTGTTTTGCGCTTAGCTATAAATTTTCTTATATGTTTTGTCGTCTTTCCCATTAATCTTGACAATTAATTAAGGTTCCACCATTTGGCGTTGCGAAAACCCCTGAAGAAGTTAAAAAACAGGCTGAGAATATTGGTATGTTCTGGCCCTCCAGGTTTGACACGCACTTATTTTTGATTTAACAACTTTGAGGCGGCAAGGATTATGTCGTCAAAGCTCAAGTTTTGGCTGGCGGTAGAGGCAAGGGAAAGTTTGATTCCGGTCTTCAAGGCGGTGTCCAGATTGTTTTCACGTAAATACCAAACTCTTAGTCTAATTTTCTGGAACATTCTGAACTTCTTCAGACCTGAAGAAGCCGCGGAAAAGGCAAAAATGATGATTGGTGCTCGCCTTGTCACCAAGCAAACTGATCATCGTGGAAAGCTTTGTGAAGAGGTAATTGGGTTAATAGTGTTTGCTTCAGTGTGCTATTCATATGTATTTTTATGTGGTTTTTTCTTTGTTTCTCATGCGAAGTACAGTTTGATAGCACTTCAACACTGATCTTTGGCGTTGTGCTGTTCTTGAATCCATATCACAGATTTTGGCAAAACAGTGTAGAGTGTAAATTCTAAATGTTTATGAATTCAGGTTATGGTATGTAAGCGACTATTTACCCGCCGAGAATACTACTTTTCTATCATGCTTGACAGAAATACAAATGTAAGCGAGTGATTTTGTGGAAGCATAGTATTTTCTACACGGCTGTTGAAATATAGGGTCCCATCATTATTGGATCATGCCGTGGTGGTGTCAATATTGAAGAAGTAGCAGCTACTGAACCAGAAGCTATAGTAAAGGTTCCGATCGATATGGCTAAGGGTGTCACTCCACAAGTTTCTGCAGATATTGCTGCGAAGATGGGATTCAAGGTGGGGTTGTAATTGTTCACGTATAAATGGCAGATGGGATCGTTCAAGTGCTCGAGTACATCCAATCAAATCCAAGTCCATTGCCATATGTTTTCATGTAGATCCAAATTGCATAATCAATACGATAATAGTAGTGAAATTGATTTTTAGGCACATCAACAAAGTACAGATATGTGGAAGATTGTTTTAACGTGTGTCATTTCTTTGGAGTTCATTTAAACTATCACCCTTCCTATCCAAAGTCTTATGAAACTAGAATATGCCAATTTTGGTATTCTCCTTTCGGTTGGGTCATTAGCTACTTATGTTATTGTTTCTGTTGCAGCTTCTAATTTTTCGCTGTGCATGTGTTGAATGCCGTTTCAGGGAGACTCAGCAAAACAAGCTGCTGATATGATAATTAAGCTGTATAACCTTTTCCGAAAGTCTGATGCTACACTTCTGGAAATTAACCCTATGGCTGAAGATGTTAATGGTGATGGTAGGTCGAGTAGTTTTGCTCCTTAAAATCTGTTTTGCTTATATGCGTCAGCTGTTTTTCCTCTGTACAGTCTACTGCATGGATTGCAAACTGCTTTTGGACTCGAATGCTGAGTTCCGTCAGAAAGAACTGTTTTCTCTCAAGGACTCAAAGCAAGAAGACCCGCTCGAGGTGGGAGGTTTTTCAAACTATTTTTTAAATTAAAGTTTAGCACTATACTTTGATGGCACCTGTGGGATCAAATGTTCGTTTTTGTTCACCGAAATTCCCAAGTCGATAGCTGATCAGCATGATTAAAACAGTGAAGAAAGTGAATGACATTGCTGTTTTTCAGATTCGTGCGGCCGCTGCCAATCTCAACTACATTCGTTTGGACGGGAATATCGGATGTTTGGGTCAGTATTGGATTTCACTTCCAGTGGATGGGGCACACTGATATTTTCGTTATTCTTTTCTAGTAAATGGCGCTGGGTTGGCAATGGCTACTATGGATATTATCAAACTTCATGGTGGCGACCCTGCAAATTTCCTTGATGTAGGAGGTGGTGCCACTGTTGAGCAAGTTACGGAGGCATTCAAAATCATCACGGCGGATAAGAAGAAGGTTGAGTTTTTCTAATGTTTTTCTTTTTTTCTGGGATGATAGTAATACGTCTCGTCTTAGGTTAACGCTATTTTGGTTAACATCTTTGGTGGAATAATGCGATGCGATGTCATCGCTCAGGGAATCATCAAAGCTGCTAAGGAACTTGATCTCAAAATTCCAATTGTTGTTCGTCTTCAGGGTGCGTTCTCCCATTAGAATGAGTCAACTACATAACGTACACAAATTTACATAACCACTCTTATCTTCAATCGTTTTAGGAACGAAGGTAGAAGATGCCAAGGCTTTGATAGCAACTTCCGAGTTGAGGATCCTTCCATGTGATAACCTCGACGAGGTAAATTTGAATTAGTGATTTTGCGGTAGCGTTTTCTCCCTCCTTTTGGAAGAATCTTTATGCATTTTTGTGTGGTATATATTCCTCTTAGTTTTTTGGTTACTTCAAACAATCATAAAAAGATTGTCATCGATAGAGTACATGTTCTGACTTGTCTTTGAATGCTGTGCCTTCTTGAAGCCGCAGCGTGCATTAGTGGTTGTACACAATTCTTACTTATGATTTTGTTCCTTATTAATTTGTTTTAGGCTGCCAAAATGGTTGTGAAATTGTCCGACATTGTCAATTTGGCTCGAGCAGCTCAGATCGATGTGAAATTCGAATTGTCCATCTAGAGCAATGTTCATACGTGTTTGTGATTCATGAGAATCTAGCAGAATCTTTCTTTAGTAATATTCAGCTTGTCACTAGTTTCGTTCAGTGCTGGTGAAGACATAGTTTTTCTGTTATTTTCGTGTTAAGCAACTTAGTCTGGTGGCTTTACCTTGAAAGGGATAATGAGCCAACTTTAGTGCTGTTTATCAGAAGTTGTTCTGCAAATGTAGCATCAGCTAGGCACCTTTTTCGAGTTCAAAATACAGTCACGTACTTCTACTGGTCCACATGTGCGATTTCTTTGTCAATAAATCGTGATTCTGGCGTGGATGAGCGTCATACCTTAATCCTGTTTTTTTCGAAAATTTAGTCGGTCGGTCTCCCCGCTCATTATCTGCGCACTTGCTATCGCATCTGCAAAGTACAGCAACCTCGAATCTGTCAAGGATGATGTACTATCATAACAGCATCGTAATTGTTAATTCGAGTACTGAGTCGACTGATGTTTTTTCGGCGCACCGAAAGTATTAAATGAGTAATGATGTAAGGACGTTTTTTTTTTTTCATTCAGTGCTACAATGGGCACATGTCATTAAC